GTAAAACTCTCCTGAAGTGCATTCAGGATTAAGATTTTCCAAAAACATTGATGCATTGAAAAACAGATATGACAAACATCATATAATCGAAAGGAATCAGATTAAGCACACGGTATCGCAACCCATTGATAAATTTGTAAGATACTGTTGATTTAGTCACTTAACTAATCCGTGAGTCCAGATAAATACGTTAGCAACAATATAAGTTGAGATTAAGATTGTAGTAAATTTATAGCTTGAGCTCACCATACGTTCCTGGAATACTGCCTTCGTTGTCTGGCAACGGGACACAAAATTTGGAAGTTGGGCAGGTTGCGGCCAGAAGAAAAGGTATTGCGAGATAGCTCATAGAATAGAATGCAATGCTTAGCGAAGAAACAAGATGAAGAATAAGATCCACATAACTATTCAGTCGTTGCTTATATTTAAAAATATTTATGTCGATCAAGTACCATATTTGCTAGTGTTCGATGTTTTTTTACAAATCTATTTCACGGAAGTATGTAAATGCCACTAAGATTTGTTAATGAATCATCATAGAATATCATAAATGCAGATGATCAGTTATTAGTACCAATCAATATCACAAAAAGAAAATACATGTGTTTATTAATAAACAAACTAATAGAAAAGTGGGTTAACATAAGTAACAATCAATCGAAGAAATTGAAGTGAATAAGAGAATTGATATCAGGCTATACTTCTGAACTCGACCTCACCAATCTAGAACTGTAGTCTAGTTCGGTATTGGTACTGCTTTAATGGTAAACCCCATTTCAAAATGGTATAGTCGTTATGATGTGACTACCTAATCCATAAGATCTTACATGGAAGTTACATAATTTTCCACACTAACTCATCGTATCATGACAATCGGCAATATGACGTTTAGCATTTACGGAGAATTATATATATATATATATATATATATATATATATGTATATGGGCTGAGCCATGCTATGCCTAACAATTGTTCCCACATTCCCTATCGTTGAAAGTAAACTTTTTCAGTAATTATATGCTCAGCTTCAAAGATTTTGTTGTTAGAATCCAATACCACTACAGGCAGTACTTCATATAATTTTCATTCTGCATGTCATGATAGTGAAAGTCTACACTTTTATATCAGAGTATATTTGGCAGACATTAGTGTTGAACTGTCAGGTATATATTGCACATAATACCAGGCTAAATACACATAATTCTTTTCAACGCTTCTGTGAATATATGGTTAATTATTTCAGGGTTTTCAAAATTTTGAGAACTTTTCCAAACACTAATTATCTGTATGGTGAACAGTCGTAATTGTTTTTGTTAGATTAATTTCTCATTGATTTCTCTTAGAATTGCCATCGATGACGTATTAGATTTCACGTCAAAATTATTATGGTAGAAATGTTTGCATAGAGGATTGTTTCAAGTGATCATTGGGTTGTAGCGTGGCGTCGGGTTGCGTCTAACTATGATCACCATCACAAAAAGACTACGTGCCATTTAACCGATAAGATCCCCCGTAGACCAAATATCAGAAGGCAGTTGACGGCTGTAGTTGAGATGCATTTGCTGGCGATCTCATGATATCGAAAGAATACCGAGATCGTGCCAGATTACAAAGGAGGTTACTGAGCATTACATTAATCGCGTCCTGCTGATAAAAGTAGGTCACTACAAAATGATCACCCTGTATAAAACAATTTATCTTTCGTTGGAAGGTCAATATCCACACCATTAAACCATTTCTTGTAGGCAGACCTACAATCTGTGCGCGCTTTACATGTTATGTGAATAATGTTCGCTAAGTGTTTGAGGTCAGTCACACTGTGTAAATTGCTCGCAATAAGATATGTTTTGGGTGTGTTCAAAGGAGCGATAGATTCTGTCAGGTTGTAATGATTTGGTCCTAACCACACAATCCTCAAAACCGTACATGAGATAACTGGGAGGATATATGTTCACCATTCAACACAGAGAGAAAGCAAACAATGGTGATTGCAGGGGTTGTTGAGCACGGCGTTCCCACTCGTGATCTGGTGCGGATGCGTGACCGAGCGCCTTCAGCTAGATGAGTCCATCATAACTAGTTTGGTCAGCACCCAATGTCGAAAACTTAAAGAGATATTTATTTTGGGGATTTATTTACCGCTACAGTACGGAACTACACAAGAGCTTGTCCTCATGATTGGAAAATGGGAAAGAAACCAATGCGAACTTCCTCCTAAAAAAAATTTCTGATTCTTGCAACTTTAACGAGTTTTTATATCAAAAGAGGCTAATATATACATCATATGGTAACGTGAAAGAATCAAGAGCTTGGACCTAAAATGTTAATGAAGATGGTATATATATATATACATAAGTTTTAAAAAACATTATCTCCATTTGAAATAATGATTAGAAATACCAAAAAGCTAATTGCTCTAAGTTAGCTATACTTGGTGAAATTATCCCTGAAGGTAATGCCACCGAGCGGGAAGTTCTTAAATAGACGGTACTTAAGGTCGTAAACTTGTCTCAGTTTTTAGTGTAGATGTTGCCGCGTAGTCCCCTTTTAGATAGAGTTTCATGTGAAACACTCGTTTTTTGACTGGCAATAATATTTAAAATATCATTTGACGTATCTATGATTTGTCAGGCATAAAGCGACCCTCTATATATAAAAAGTCAATTTCCATCACGAACTTACATCATCTAGATAATGGACTTAGCACCTCAATCTGTTTAATCCACTCATTTATTTTGCTCACACTGTTCCACAACTTTCACTATTGTCGAATGTCTTTTCTGACTGAATTTGTGTACTAATCATCCTTAAATTTATTGTGCTAAAATAATTAAAAACTCAACATGCCATAATGCGTGAGTATTGGCACACCGAATATTCTGTCGTTTACTGGCAAAAAGAAAAGCATCTAAGATCTTCCGAGTTCACTAGCGAAAGCCGCTTCAAGGTGTTATTGTTCTTTTTGCCACGTGTTAAGATCTGTGCGGACGTTTTTTTACGGCTTATGTCAGTTAGTAAATTTGCTCTGGTTAACATTAATTACTAGTCATGGAACTTTATTCCTTGTTATATCACAATTGGAAGGGATCTAACTTTTTATATCCAATGAATCCACATAAACTCCCACAGTTGAATAATACCATCGTTACAACAGAATAATCGTTTTAGTAGCAAGTTTGTTTCTACAACACAATTTGTGAGTTTGGATTATATAAAGTTTTGTTCTATCACTGTATCACCTTATCCCACTGTGCAGAGGTGATGTGAAAATTGAAACATGCATATATGTGCTAATTTCTATGATGCTTATAACCGTATTCATTTGACTAGCACCTGTAGTTCTCATAATAACTTTGTGTAACCACGAATAACTGGAGTTATTTCGATCTGTTCTTAAATTTGCAAATATAGAAGTTGGATTATCTGAACGTTTGGCTAGACTTTCACTGGAAAATTAGATGTGCTAGTCGGTGACGCCTATCATTAAGCATATAAGTCCTGTACTAAGCAATTAGTCTACAAAGTCTCTTGATAAAAATCTATTTGAAAACAAGTTTTATTTAACAGTGATCATAGAATAAGTGGTATCATTTTCCTGGATTTTTCTTTCTGTCAAGTAAAACCCGGGCAAATTAGTCCTACTGAAGTAGGTTACTTTTTCAGAAATGAGGTCTTTGCATTTGCAAAAACAAATAAGATAATTAAAAAAGCTTGTTACATACAGCAGCATAAAACTCGAGATGTAAGCAGTATTGTAGTACGAGGAACAATACATTATCACATATTTGTATAAACTAATCCCTTTCATAAATTTCCATCGAAATTCATATTTCGGTCGAAATACTGGTAAGACATTAGACTTTTGTAAGCATCAATTGTGCTTATTTAGATAGGTCACTTTTGCAGTCTATGGTGTCCTTAGCCACATTCCAACATTTAAAGAGTATCAAATACTGATTAACTTTTTGTCAAGCCTTATGTTTGTAATTTCAGGTTTACATTTGTATCTCATACTTAAGTTATTCTATTCCTACAAATTTCTTACTAGGTCCTCTTGTGTTATGATGGTTTCTTAGAGTTAGGTGAAAATGATGAAGTGACTAAATGAAAAACCTGAGTCCAACTTCCGTATTCTGCTGTACCTATAAATTTTATTTACAAGAGACAAATCAGCCGTAAATTAAATGTAAGTGCTTTCCATAAGTTTATGTAATCCTTGTATTTTCAGCGATGTAAGATTTAAACAAGGGACCGTAAGTTGATTTTTTCAATAATCTGTGATTCATTCATGGTTTAAATGACATGAAGCGGTTGTTGAAAGTTTTAAGATTATATTTAACTAGTATATGCAGTAGTTTCCATGAATGACAAGACATCACTTTAAGGTTTTCTGATTATTCTGTTTCTACAGAATCGTCACTATTTTCCTCGACTACTGAGAATTTTTAGGGAAAACAAAAATTTCAATTTATCGTTAAACTCGTAACGAAAAACTTGATTTCGTCAGGCGGTAGGAAACCTGCATTTTCGTCAAAGTACTTGCAGATAGATACCCAATATCACCAAGTCTTACAGAAACATATTAATCAATGCCAGTTACGTGAAATTGTGCTTAATCACTGATATGGAACAATATTTTCTCCACTTATTTTCAGTTTTTGTGTTGATTAAACAGTAGTTTTTCTTTCATGGGCTTCTTAGCGAAAGTGTGATATAAGCATAGCGTCGAGGAACCATAAGAAGTCCATGCTGTTCCTTGTAACAGAAGAACCTATTCCACAAACTTAATACAATGCATAGCTTACTATTTACAACTGTGAATTCGTCGGTGTTTATAAGAGTATTTGTGCGATTTTCGTATTTAAATCCTTTCTTAATCAAACCAACCATCTACTTACATCCATTTTTAGCTAAGAAATTGACCGATGCAATCCATTTATGTCTTCTAGGTCCAGTTCCTCCATGTAATATCATAAGTTATACAGCTTTCGTCCAAAAATGAACCAAACTCCCCAAGAACGTCTGGATGCTCTTCTTAAGTCTGCCGAAGATTTCACTATAATTCAAAATATAGACATTTCTCACTATGCACGGTTTATCCGGTCGATGTTTCGTCTATCTGTCCAGTTCTCAGAAGCAGGCCAAAAAGAAAGAGCGTACATATTATCCATAAGAGCTGTTTTGTGTATCCGAGAGTTACCTAATCATAATGGTTACCAGAGACTGGATCCACGTGTTCAAAACGAACTCAAAAGTCTTGGTAAATTACTCCCAAAATCTGCTGAGTTCTTGAAGGATGATTTGAAAAAAAAGTACACAGAGGAATATGAGCTGTATAAAAAGTCACTTAGTATAGCTGAATGGAAAGTGAATACTAATGGGCCAGTGGTACCCTTTCTTGATCATAGTTCAAAACCATATGATGACTATCCAGTTGATCCCAACTCTTATAGACTCTCTTTGTCTAACTTATCTTCAGTTAACGGGACATTATATCCTGCTTTTAATAAAGCCCTCAACTATACTCCCGATGAGCTCCCAAAATCTCTGTACAGTAACTACGCAGGAAATTATGGTTTGACGAAAACATATTTATCCCGACATCTGATAAGTGACTTTTTGAACCTAGCTAGTAAAAATACTAAAGGAAATCGAGAAACTTGTGGGACCCTGTGTGGGAAATTAATTAGTGGCAATTTCTATATTACAAACCTTCTAATTCCGAAGCAAAGCGGTACTCCAGACTCTTGTGTTACATATAAAGAAGAGGAAATATTCGAGTACTTAGACAGGAGGCAATTGATCACATTGGGTTGGATTCATACACATCCTACTCAAACTGCTTTCTTATCGGCTGTTGATCTACACTGTCAGCTATCTTATCAGACTATGCTTCCAGAAGCGATTGCAATTGTATGCGCTCCTAAATTCGATGATATTAAATGTTTTTCATTAACTCATGACCACGGCATTCCATTCCTGTCAAAATGTAAAAAAACGGGTTTCCATCCACATGCCACAGATCTTCCATTATATGAACAAAGTCAACATGTAATATTTGACGATACTGTTGAACATTCTTCTGATGATCTCCGATAATCTGAAATTCCACAATGTTTGTACAGTGAGTTCTGGATGTGCAAATTATTCTTTATGCTTTATCTACTTCACTTCCTACTGATGTTAATTTGAGAAACTATTAATGGTTTGCAGTATTTTCCTAATGAGACCTGTACTTATTTTCCTTGATTGTCAAATGCTCCCTGTAAATGATTCTATTGTTGATCAACAATCATAGAAGTTTATCACTTGTAAAAAAGATAGAAGTCAGTGTTTGCTTAGGTTATAAATGAATCGTCAACTTAGTTTAAGACTGGGAAGAGGGTGAGACGTTGAGAAACTTCGTTGTTGCTGGGCATCTATCTGCAGGTTGAGCGTTTCATTGACCCAAAAGTTTCAAGCCGAAACAACATGACTGTATAAGAATTTTATGGCTATAAGTCTATAGAGAGACTTGTCTAAAACCGATTCAAAAATCTTATTATCAGATGTAGGGAATGTAGATTATTTAGTAGGCAGGAATATCTTTCCCTATAGGTGTAGCAATACATTTAATTTCATATGAGTCTAAAATGTGCCAACAGATATCCTTTTGAAACCGGTTAACATAAGGATGCATAACTTTGTTTGAGCCTCCCAGCTATAGGTACATTTCCAATGTTTCTTTGGCTTCACTGCGAAGATTTTTCAAATGAAAGGACTAACGTACACTGCTTACAGAATCCTTAAAACTAACTCGGTGATTATGAGTTTATTTGAGGTACATAAAGACATGACTATGACATCTATGTAGGCGTATCACTGCCTAAATCTTAGCAGTGTTAATTACTTGCAAGACAGATGTTAGATTGCTTTTCGGAACTATTGACAGATTGCTAATCAGAATGTAAAAGTTTTATACAAAATGACTAATTTTGAAAAAAGTATAAGTTCGGAAAGTTGTTATCATATTATGTTGTTACGTTTTGGAAGCAGTATTTAGTCATACTTACTAAGGTACGCTAAGAATATGCACTCCTTAGGCTGTTCTCTTGTAACATGGTACTTTGATTAGTTGATATCTTGAATAAGCAATACTATTTGGAACGTCGAGGATTGTTTTCGTTGCATCAACTTACCTTGTATTCAATTAGCATTCCTGCATCCGCATAGTTTGGTCACCTTTATGATTGAAGTACACCCCCAAACTTACTCGTATTCGGTTTTAAGAGAAGTAACCAATATCTCACTTAAGTTTAAGATTTATTTAAAAATACGTACTGATACTAATGAGATGCGGAGCAAATTGTATGAAAATTTATTAAGAGGACTTACACTAAAATATTAAGTGGTAGACATATTAGCATTACGATGATATAACTTAGATTAAGAGAAGTGAAAATAGTATATTTACCCTCAGTAGCCTAATCATATCGATTTTCTTATACGATTAAAAGTTAATCAGTTAAGTAATTACTCCAGCCCCTAATTAACGTCAGACCATGTACTACAGATCAAAAAACTTTTATCTTCTTGTTTTTAAAGCATACAGCCTCATATATAACGTCAAAAGAGTACAGTAAGTGATCGTGTCGAAAAAGACCACAATTATATGCGTTATTCAAGGCCGGAAGCAGTTATCGCTTTAAAAAACAGGAAGCAATGTTTCACAATACGTACGAAAGACAAATAAATATCTACTGTACGAAGTGCCTATTGCTGAGAATTTATTAGCACATGCCCAACAAAAATGAATCCACTTATTTTCATAAATAATCCTGTTGCATATACTAAAGTGAAACATTTGTGTACAACATGCACTGGATATACTAACAAGCTTTAAAAAATCTATTCAAGAGAACCCGAAGTAACAAATTAAGTAATTTAGTATGCCAAAAAACATCGTGTAAGTAGGCAGTCAGTATCATTATAGTGCACGAAAAATCGGTTTCCTAAAATAATATATATATATATATATATATATATATATATATATATATATATATATATAGGGAGAGAGTAAAAGATGAGAACTTCAAGATTTTCTCAGTTAGGATAAAAAATATATGAAACGAACGATTGTTAGATCTGAGAGTTTAAAAGTGAAAAATTATATATATATAAACTCATGCCCACGAAACAGCGGTCTGTGTCAAATCAAGAACTTTATTCATTTTGCCTTTTGCATCTGTAACATTAAGTACTATACGTGGTGGGGAAGATATTGTTGGATCCAAGTTTTCATTTGATTTCTTCGATGACCAAGCTTCATCTTTAACGCTTTTATGACTAACACTGATGTTGACACGACTACCAGGGTTTAGATGTCCTTGTTCATCAGCTAAAGCAAGAAGACTAATTATCCTGCGTTCAATCTAAAAAAATTGATCGAAAATAAATCCAATGTAAAGTATCATTCAATATGTAAAGACAAAAATGTGATTTACAGTTTCGCCCTGATGTTAACGAATATTTATTTATCAAGTACTCGGGGCTTTGAGCCATACTATAAATGTAAAGGCTAGTTAATATTACCTGGTTGCTCAAAGGTAGACTGAATGCGGTTTAAAACTGCGACTTAATGGTTGAAGGTAGGATGTCTTAACCACTAAATTATCACGTTGATGTTTAATTATATCATTCATAATAATAGTCTAGTAATGATTATATGAGAAAAAAAGGTATTCATTATTTTTCTATTGGCGGAATTGTAAATCTGACTACCTGCACAAAATGATAGTTCCCAGAAAAATGAAGGCCTTTTTATCTCCTTATTTGAAGTTATTGTCTTGAAATTAACAACTTATGCATTGCAGAAAAATCTTACAATAAGGAGAACGTTCTCTAGTTTTTCACTCCGGCTAGGTGGTATAGGATAGTAGTAAGTCAATAGCCACACCTACATTCATCGATCAAAAATGATAGTTGACTACAGTTCCCACAATATAAAATTATTTAATGAAGTAGTTACTTCTATCTGTACCAAGGTCAGTTAAGTCAATGGAATTACTAAAACAAACACTTACACTCATCTAAAAGTCATAGAGGATTTATTTAAAATCCGTAGTAGTATGAACTATAAAAACACAATGAAATTTGCCAGTCTTACCTCGTAATTGATTGATCTTGCTCCATAATACACATCATATCCATCAACAATGAGATCTACTACTTCACGATTCCATGTTATTGTGAGAGAATGTCTTTTCATTGCCTACAACAAAAATTACTCTTGGTTATATATCAAATTTTACACAAAAAACCGATATAATTTATAAAATTAAGCATGGATAAAATCTAGCAAGCAAGTTGTGTAACAGACCATAGTGAAAAAATTCAACAAAATACTAGGCGTAAATAGAATTCACACATGGTTTATTGACGTTAACTTATGCCGTAACACACATGAGTTCATTCAAAACATGAAATCACTAAAACTACATCCCTTAACTTGACCTAAAACATCTATTATTTCACAAATATCAAAATCGGAGATAAAGTGAAACTAGCATGAGTGAGATGTTGTGATTGCCACAATACAACTGATATAATAATAAATTCATACATCTATTACTCTTCGTAACTAATTTCTTACTCTCATTTTTATACATCTGAACTCATTGACAGTAGGCTAAATGTTTCTGAAGAATTCACAGTTGCACTAAATGTTAACTTTTCCATAAAAATGTATCACCGACATCAATTGGTTAACACACATAGGCCAATCATGAATAATTGATTCCAACTATCTGTGCTGTTCTAAAACCTTATCCCATAAGGCGAAATAGTCAACTTTTCACATTTAAGATTGGTGAAATCATAATTATCTAGTATCAGATACTTTTCAGATCGAAACATCATTCATTCTATTAATTTTTCAACATTGTTTCATATATACTTGGTTCTTGTTTCACAGAAATATAGTTCTTTTAAAAGCTAATGGCAGGAGAAAAACTGACCTTTTCACTCCAACTTTTTAAACTACGATTCACTAGTTCGGTAAGTTCAGATGTTGAAAATGGTAAAAAGTAAACCATTTCATTAATACGACCAAGAAATTCATCACGAAGAAAATGTCTCTGTAATATTTATGGAAAAAAATAGATAGCAACTTATTAGGATAATTAAAAGAGTGAATCCATAACAATTAGCAATATATAAAAATGTAACTAATGTTAACGGTTGCAAAATACTTGAATTAGGTACGTACTAATTGAAATATAGGAAAATGTAGGTTACAAAGTTAATGGTTTAAACGGTTGACCTACATGACTATCAATCAGATTTCAATATCAGTTAATACATGAAGAATCGTAATTGACTGTCGTTGCATTATTCTACGAATTAAAAATTATGCTGTGATAGACAATTAACGTGACAGTAAATTAAGATGAATTTTTAAACTCTAAAATCTAGTTGCTTGTTCATTACTATCTATGTCCAGAATTCAATAAACAGTTGTGTGGATCGATCACTGTCTGAAAAATGATAATGTGTAGTAAGCGAACATCCATTTGTGTTTGGATTTAAAATATTTTCCAACAAAAAATAGATATCTCGAATCAAACAACACGACCAAATTAAAAGAAAAGAATATAAAACATCTTTCTCAAGGTTCCATTGAATAAATAACGGCTAGGTAGTCAGTAAAGAAAGTGTTAACGAAGTAATAAAACTCAGAATGGTCTGATCTACCTCTTTTGTAATAAAGAATCGTATATATATATATATATATATCGTCGAGCCGGTGGCTTCTGATCCCCGAATTCGGTCAATTTAGGACTAGTATTTGATTTTATCAACGTTGATTTTTGTCTTAGCTTATACTTAATTTACTATACATGTTATAGCCTCGCACCAGGACTTCTGAAAATGCATCTGGATCGTAATCACTAGTGAGCGTATACGACTATTACTACTCGGGTAAACCGCATATAAGTTTTAAAAAAAAGAACGGAATTAGGGTTCAGAAGTAATAAAAAAAAGCTGACATCAGTGAATAACACAATCATTGATTCAGTCAGTCCCACTTAATCGAAGAGCTATTATGAGACTATATA